GTGCCCCCTCCCAGCTTCTCGCTGGCAGGGCATGAGAAGCTGAAAAGCCCTTGACTAGTGTAAGCACTGCTCAGCAACAACTACAACATTGGTGCGTTATCAACATTGTTCTCGTCCTAAATCCAAAACGCAGCACTGTACCAGCCACTAGGAAGAAAATAACTCTATCCCAGCCGAAACCAGGACAATGTCTTTATATTCACCTTGCATTCTCACATAACAGAGGTTCAAAATAGTTCCAGTCTGTGCTTTCAGGAGAAGGTTGGATGCTGGCAGATGTATGATTCACTCTTTGCTTTCTGGCAACTGGGGAAACATCACCTAATTAGCCCGGGCACAGAGCCACGCTAATGTGGCTGTATTCCTTCTGGGATGTGAGCTAATATCGCTGCATGACACTGTGCTCTGTAGATACCCAAGTCATCCACAACTACCTCAGGCATCTATGTGGCACTGCAGTGCTTGGTGTAAACATACCTAAGCCTTTATCTAAGCTTGGCTCAGTAGAATTTCCAAATGGTTCTTCTGTAATAATTTGCCAAAAGTGAGAGCATCACTTTATCCACAGAGAAGATGGCAGTCTTCTCTGAAGACTTTGCATACCCCAGACTTGGACAGCTTGCTTTACCTATGTATTTTTATGGTTGCTTAATGCTAATGTCTGTTCAAGAACTTTGCAAAGGTCATCACGTCTCTACCACCTTTCTTCATTTGAGGAAAACAAGGAAACCACAGGGTCCCAGTTTCACATTTCTTTGTTTTGTAGGATAGGGATGGTATGCTTATATAGCCTTTCAAGTTTGGGCTGTTAGCAGTAGAAGATCTTTAAGGTGTAATTGTTTCTTTGCCTTGATTTGTATCTACTCCCTGCTTTTAGCTTGCTATGGGAAATGTGGTTTTATGTAAAGATACTGAAAGTGAGAGTTATTTCTCTGACCTATGATGTTTTTCTCCTTTCCTGAGGTTCAGCTGTGTGCACACAGTAAGTCTTACTTAGCCAGCCTTACGGGAATGCAGTACTTGGTCTGTCAAAGAGAGTTTTTTTACTATGTGGATGAATTAGGAAGATTTCTTATTCATGAAATTCAGGACACTCTTTGGATGAATCCAGTGTCTCATATAGCCAGCGAATGCTGGACTTCTTGAGAATAGCGCTTACGCAAAAGTAGAAAAGCTTTGTCTGTGGCACTGTCTTATCTTTTTTCCAGAAGTTGGGTTAATGCCATTTAAGCCCTCCTACCCCCAGCATAGACAATGGACTTGTCTAATTGTTCTAATGTCATTAAACCTCAAATATGTACATTCTGTTGCAGTTAAAGACCTTTCAAATATCAATCTAGATGGTACCAAGTTGCTAAAGAGTACAGACTGGCAGTCCTATCATTCATTATTGTTTGAACATATTAATATTCAAAAGTTCCTGCTTTCCAAACAGTTGGACCTCCTGCCTTCAAGATGAGACCGACATCTCACTGGGATTTGAATTTTCTCTGGGAGGCAGCCTGGCTCTTGTTCCGTGAAGCTCCTGAGTCTGAGTATTATACAGAAATCTATTGAAAAGCAAGAACCTTTGATCAAGTCAAACAGTCTATGAGTTGAAAGAGATTCTCCCAGATGAGCATCTCCTAAGTGTGGGGCCCTGATAAAGTCCTCCTTGACTATTAATTTAGGCTCTATTTTATAATTCATTACATTTGGGATACCGAAAAAGCAACAAACAAACCCCCAACTTCTGCCAAGTGACATATGGTTGTCATCTCTGTTCAGCTTCTAATGCACGGATCAGCATTCCTTCTCTCCTAGGAATGATCTTATCTATAAGAGGATTGCTGCGTACAGCTCTATAAGTGCTTGAGGTGGTTGCTTCTTTGTCACTGATACAGAAAAAGAGAATGAAAGTGATATGCTGAAAATATGGCAAACGAATCTTATGGCTATTCACTTTGTACATAATTCTATTTTTCTGAAGTTTATAGAGGTGTAGGGCAGATTCTGTATTGCCCTGTTTTTGCGCTATGAGGCCATCCTCAGAGCCTTCCAGATTTTTAAGATATAAGCCTGACCGTCTCCTCAAAATTCCACCCTGACGATGGTTCTGCTGGCACCTCCGTGCTGAGTGTCTGGAGGGATGTGGACTTTCAGACCATCAGTTTGTCTGTGTTGTGCCTCAGCCTGTAGTTTCACGATTGCTGTAAGCTAATCTTTGACTTAACTGTTAGGGAAAAGGGCAATTTTCTTCTCTCTCCCTGGCCTGTCTGCAGGATATAACCTCTTTCTTTGTGTTGACACTGGCAATCACAAAGTTCTCTGATCAAGCTGAAAATTAACCCTGCATGAATTGAAGTGAGATGTAATTTGCAGCCAGGATTTAAATTGCCAGGAGCATGGCTGCTAGTGGGACCACCCTTCTGGCGTTAGCACTGACCTACAGTTTGTGAGCCAATTGCAAAACCCAGCTGGCCTTATGTTCAGGGAGGCAGATGTCATATTTTA